CCAACCTTAATGATTCTATGATTCTACGTCTTTAGGCTTCATGGCTTCAAATGGTCTGCTGGTAGCTCTAAAAAGGAATTCACTTGAGGACCCTATCCTCTCCAAAGAACAGATTTAAATTTTCTGGCAGAGATTGTGATGGATCTTTGCACACAAAGATACTTACTGGCTTGTAGGTTCAGTATCAGAGGCCATCATACAGGAACTACTGGCCCTTATTTTAAACTCCATGGATTTGCAGATAGGCATTAGTTTCTCTAGTTAGTAGTTGCAGCTGCAAACATGTGTTGTGGTTTAACCCCAGCCAGCAACTAAACACCACGCAGCCGCTTGCTCACCCCCACCCCGCCTCTGGTACAATGGGAGAGAGAATCAGGAGGGGACAAGTAGGAAAACTTGCGGGTTGAGGTAAAAAGAGTTTAATAATTGAAACAAAACAAAGTATAACAGTAATAATAACAATGATAACGAGAACGATAGAATATACAAAGCAGGAGATGCATGATGCAACTGCTCACCACCCCCTGACCGATGCCCCGTGTGTCCCGAACCGCAAGAGCCCCCCTTTCTTGGACCACGCCTCCTAACTATATACTGAGCATGATGTCACATGGTATGGAATACCCCATTGGCCAGCTGGGTCAGCTGCCCTGGCTATGCTCCCCCCTGCCCTGATAGCTTCCCATGCATATGGCAGAGCATGGGAAGCCGAAAAGTCCCTGGTGCAAGCCCACTCAGCAGCAATCAAAACATCAATGGGCCATCAACGTTCCTCTCATACCAAACCCAAAACACAGCACCCCCCAGCTACTGCGAAGACAGTTAATTCTGTCCCAGCCAGACAACATGGCGACCTCTAAGTTGCAAATTTGTACTGAATTATCTTCTAACAATTTCCTTTTGAGAAATTTGGAGCTTTGTGCTAATTCCACACCCTATCTCTCCCACTACCCCCAGTTGTCTCAAATTCTGTAACTTCTCCTAGATACTGAAATTTTGAAAGCTTTCAACAAGGCAGCTTCCAGCAACAGATAGTTAGAGAGATGAAAGATTTTGCCTTTTAACTTATAATAACAGGAAAATATAAATTGTCTTGTTACTTAAATTCTTTCTTGGTGCTTATGCCAATTTTATGAACTTAAGTCAAACATCTGCTCTCAAATTCCAAGAACCCCTTATAATGTCTCTTCTGTGGTCCTATGGTACCATGCTGTGCTTACTTCCACTGTTCCACAATTGTTGCTCTTCATTGGGATGGTACCACAGGATATGTGGGAGAACTACTAGCAAATTTGTTTTTGTAGTCTGCAATAATTTTCTGCAGTTTCCCACCTTCCTTCAGAAACATCTGTTGAATTTTTTTCCTGATGTTGTGATCTTCCAATGGCTCTGAAAGAATGAGCAGTGGAGCTGGAAGAAGTTAAACTGGAATAATATGTAACAAATCATTCTGAATCCCCCACTTCCTGAGGCAAAGGAAATCTGAAGTGTACAGTACGAGAGGACAATGCTTTAAAAAACTGAACAGCATTCCCTATTACAAGCCTGTACAGTGAGTTTTATTACCTTCCCAAAGCAGTGTATTTGGCCTGCCAGACTGCTCTGCAAAAATGGGAGTGTATGGATTTGGCATCCTGGTCTGTCCTGCACAGGTATGTGCTGTAGAAGTGTTCAGGTAAGGGGAAGGAGTCAATTGGATGAGTGAAGAACAGTGTTTCCTAAAAACTGGGGTTTTTTTAAACACAGATTTCCATGCCAGCTACATGTGTAAAATGCTGTGACTAGATAATTTTAGGTTTTTTAAATTTGGAGTCAAGCTGAAGCAATGGATTTTGGTTTTGTGTGTAAAATCAACCAATATTTGAGTATTTATTGGTTACTTAACTTACCGATCATGGTTTTAGAGGGATTCTACTGCACTAATGGTTATCAAACATCTGTTTTTAACTAAATGGCCTTTCTAATTCTGGCCTTGACAAGAAAAGACTATTTTCTTTTACTATTTCCTGATATTGGAAACTGAAGTATTACATAATGACTACAATCTTTTATTACTGTATGGCTGCCTCCAGAGAAAGTGGTTGTTTTAATTAAAGCAGCAATGCTGATCTCTGAGCTGGAGGCAGAAAGTTGGCATGGGCTTTCTCACTTCAGACAACCGCAAGAAAGCTGGCAAGGTCAAGAAATGCTTTTGTACAACTTATACTTCAGTGTGGATAAGTGTAGGGAGAGAGGGGAACCTTTGAAGACATCCTGTTCTTCTACTTACACAATCATGCATGTTTGAAGGGACCTAGGGACATCATGTTATCCAGCTTCATGCTCAGAATAGGATCAGCACTGAATTTGAAGCTGGTTGCTTAGAGCTTTGCTCAGTTGGGTCTTGCAAACCTCCAAGGATTGAGATTTCACAGCCTCTCTAAACAGCCTGCCCAGTTTCTTGGTTCTTCCCAGTAACTTTTTTCCTTACATCCAGTTGGAAATTCCCCACTTCAATTTAACCCCTGTCCTGTTTTCCTGCTGTGCACTGCAATAAAGAGCTTGGCTCCATTGTCTTAGTAAACTCCTCTTTAAGTACTGGAAGGCTGCTATGAGATGTCCACTAGAGCCTTGTTGTCTTTCAGGTTCAACAAGCCTGGTTGACTGTGCCAGTCCTGGTGCGCTCTGACAATCTTACTTGAGCTTATCAACATCTTTGAGTACTAGGAGTGTGCAAAACTGGATGCAGTATTTCAAATGTGGTCTAACAGGTGCTGAGTAAAGGAGAATAATTGCTGCTGTTGGTCTGCTGGCTATGCTGCAGTTGATACAGCCCACTATTCAATTATCCTTCATTACTGTCAGATGGTCTTCATACAGGTGGGGTACATCAGCCTAAATGATTGTGTCTTGTCAAACATTAAGGCTTGATTAGGCTGCAGACAGCATGTTGCTTGTATGGTAAACTGTACCTGGCCCAGACAGGGGCAGTAAGCTCAGGTTTCCCTGTCCCAGGTTCCCCTGCACTTCCCTTCTGGGGTTAGCGTGGGCAGGAAAGTTTCGGACTTGGTTGCAGATATCAGTACAGTTGTGCTGCGTGGGTAGCATCTTCCTTGCAGTGAGGCTCTGAAGGGAGAGCTCTTGCTTGGTGAAAGGATAATGCTTCAAACAGAAATTCTCTTCTTGCCTAAACAGTGCTTTTTTTTTTTTTATTAAATATTTGTAAAGAGACTCAGACCCATCTCCATTTAGTTAGTATGATCTCCTTAAGGAAGGTGAAGTGTGTTTATGGTGATTTTTAACACTGAACAAATGCAACTACACAGATTTGTAAGATACAGACAAGGTCAGAATACCTGACTGAGATAGTCATTCCTGTTACACATAATTTAAAAAGATTTACAGATGTATGGATTAGATAATTAGGCACCTGACTTCTTTTTTTTAACGAGTATTGCAGTTTATATTTCTAATTAGCACATACTTCAATGAAGGAAAAAATAGTCAATTGTGCACAAAAGTGTCTGATAGAATGTTTACAAAAGGAAACAAAGCCTTTGATATAGGAGTTAAAATAGCTCTAAATCTGTTTCAGTAAGCTCAGACACTGTGTATGGCTGTCTGTTACCTCACTTTGGTTTTTTGGATGGATCAGTGTACAGAATCACAAATTTTGATGTCCCTTTTTCTCTTTATTAAGTAATACAATGTATTGAAATTAAATATGAATTTAGGAAAGATTGTACATTGAATATAATCTCTCAAAATTATGGCATATATTATCTCACAATTTTGAAAGAAGGTGAAGAAATACCTTTAAACATACACATCTCTGTACTGTAGATTCACCTATCTCATGTTTCTATTATCTGAGTTTTGTTTGTGGAGTTGAACTAGATTCAAGTGATGGAAAGCGTGGAAACTTCAACTCATTTGTGCCGTAGTTCTTATTCAGGGCACAAATATGAGGGCTGCTGCTTTTCAGTAGTCAATCTCACAGAAGTATATCCCAAACTTTCCATATGTATCAACATAAATGGGATTACTAAGCCTGTAGAAAACTTCTGGGGAGCCTTTGGGTCCCTGCATTATGGTACATTTCACCCTGAGAAAGCTGTACGTGAAGTTATGCCCCATAGGAGTAATCTTTCTGCCATGAAAAATAAAGTCAATAAATATAGTATCTTACAATCTTTATTTGTTTGAGAGAAAGTAGAGGGAAGTATATGGAAGGCACAGTATAACTCTCAATTATACTTTAATGCAGGGAAAAACTGCTAGTACAGCTGGTATGCTCTATAAATTGAAGTATTGCATCTTCAGGTTGTGAGTTCAGCGATTGAATTTACAAGGTTTGCAATATTGTATCTGCAGTTCTTTAATGTGCAACTAACCTCTGCTATTCTTTAGTATTAAGAGGGCTGTATACCTTAAATAATAGTGAGCTTCACCTTTACTTCTGTATAACAAGTACTTTGTAATTAATGGTTTTTAAAATTTCATTACTTTATTACTTTTGCAGAAGAAAATGCCAACAAAGAAAATTCATACAAATAATTATTGGAAATGCCCAGACTTTTTAAACACACTGAAATTCTCTGTGCTTTGAGAATGTAATTTTTTTTGTCTTTGTGAGAAAAGAAAGAAAAAAGGGATGCTCATTAACAAATCAAATGCAAATGGTGGAACTTGGTTTTTGGATGTATGTGTTGATTGATGAAAACTGCCAGATGACTGGAATGAATAAGTGTTCCTTCTCCTTGTATACTTCAGAACTTGACTTAACTTTTTAAATACAGATTATTCTTTTTGTTTTCATTATTTAAGGGAAGGTTTTAGGTTTTCATCTCAAGAAGCTGCTTCAAGTTTTGGTGATGATCGCTTACTGATAGAAAAGTTCATTGATAACCCTCGTCACATAGAAATCCAGGTTTGTAGTATTATTATTATTTATTATTTAGTTAATAAGATTTGAACTCCTAAACTAATCAAAGTTCAAAACGTTTCAAACACTCTGCTAAAAAAGGCCTAGAGTCCTGTGTTTTCCTGTGTCTTGAGCCATTGCTCAAACTACATGGCTATCATGCACAATACAGCCTTCCTGTTTTTATTCTTTAGCCTTTCTTTAGCAGGAAGACAATGAACTGCGCTCAGTTTGTTGGGAAAAAAGATTAAAATGGTTGTAGGCATCTGTCCTGAGGGCTGGAGCTTGAACTCTGGGTCCTGATTGCAGTGCTTGAGTGCAGCAGAGGATGTAGGAGTTCAAGCACTGCTGTGCTTAACCTTTTTCTTGCAAGCTCTAGGTGGTTTTGTCAGTATTTTGAATTCTGTTCTGAAGTATCTAATGCTCCCTAGGAACTCAGGAGGATTTGTGTCCCATTTTGGGCAGTTTGTGATTCAAAATCAGGTGCATTCTCCTTAACTTCTGGATTGTGACCATTTGTATCGTTTATTGGATCTAGTGTTAAGCCAGATGTGCTAATGCAAAACAAGACTTGTTTGTTTTGGACAGACTCTTTAACAAAATTATGATTTTAAAATTTGTGATGTATTTGATCTTACATAGGCAACGAAATTGTGTTTGTCAATAGCCTTGAAATAATCTTTCCTGACAAGAAATCCGTATGGACTATGTCAGTCTCCTCAACAGAAATTTCATTTATTTTTGTCCAAAATCTAAAGTTGTGGCTTCTTTTACAGTGAGAGCCTGAAGTATTTTGACAGTAGCTCAATGACTGAATGAACCAACAACAATAAAATTGATAGTTTGGAATGATTTGTAAGAGAGAAATACTTAATTCAAACCTGATACTTCCTATGTGTTTTTTTTATTTTAAATTTCCATATAAAACTTGTCTGTGCACAGGCTAACTTAATACATATGTAAAATGAAGAAACAGTCTGTAAAAATGGTGTTTAAACCCCAACCTATTCTCTTTTGAAAGCTCACAGGAAGGTATGTAGTGAACACTTAGTTTCAGCATTAATCTTAGGTTACAAAAGAAGTCAGATTGCTAGAGCTTCTTCCTATATTCTCTTGCTATGGCTAATAATTTCTGGCTACCTATGTCTTTGTTTCTTTTTTTTTTTTGCATGCAAATCAGTACACCTTAAAGATTTATTCCTTTTAGTGCTTGCAGATTTGGGCGCTTCAGCAGCTTCCCACTGACTCTTTGATGACTAAAGTTAGATGAGAATGATTCCTCCATACTTTCATGAGTTGGAGGCAGATTTTACATTGTCTTGATTCCTTTAGGTTTAAAAAAGGTTACCTCAAAAAAATTAGGCAGTACTGTATTTAAGAACAGTCAAATAATTTCACCTAGATTAAACAAAATAGCTTTGCCATTAATAATTCATAGTTTTATTTATAGTAAGTGTACAGTGAATGTTGTTTTCCGTACACAAACACTTTGATGGTACCTTTTAACAATATCATAGCATATCACTTTAACTTCATGTTCTAATCAGCTTTAGGACGTTGACCTTGGTTCATTTTCAAACTGCTAAATATACAAACAATTTGAGACCAGATGCCAAATATTTATTAATTTAGCAGTAACTTTTAAATAGAACTTTTTTAACATTCTCATATAGCTCCAAAGCATTGGTACTTAAAATTGTTAAATAAGGGGTTTCCTGTGTCTAGCTATAAAACAATCACTTTGTAAAACATGAGAAAAGACTAAAACATTTAACAGGAAAATAGACTCCAAATAGACTTTATGCCTGAACCGATTTGAAGTCTTGTTCTTCTGAAATATCTGATATAAAGGACCTGAGTTTAAAGTAAGAGTACATGGAATGTCTAACTATTACTTGACTAAATAGCAATCTTACAACTGGAAATAGAATTTAGCTGAATCATGTAGGAGAGGTTGCGATACGTTATATTTAATTATTTTGGTATATAGATGTACATAGCATATACTAATGTCATAATCATCTAATCCCACAAAACAGGGCATTTTCTTTTAGGAATATTTAGATATTTAGAAAAAAAGCTGTAGCTGTGACATGCATTTTTAGTGAGATGTGTCCTGGAATCTCATGTCATCTCAAGAGATGATGATTTCAATATTCTGTAAATGTCTTCTGAAATATAATTGTTTTATGAAGTAGGTATCTTCTTTAGTTTCTGATAATGAAAACAGTGTACCCAAAATGAAAGTAAAAGCCAACACTAGATGTTGTTTGGCTTATTCTATTTATAATTACATTTTCATAGTAAATGCTCATGCATGTCTCTCTTTGAGCCATATTAACTGATAATAGAAAAACATTTATTTTAAGATCCAGGTTGCAGAAATTAAGTAGGATACAAGAAATGTCCTGAAGTGAAAGAAAATATTTACTAGTTGGCTTGAAAAGTATTTTACATTCCCTTCAGGAAAATAGAGAGAGAGAGCGAGAGCGCACAGGAACTCATTTTTATTGAAATACACCAGGACTTGTTGGTTTGTTTGTTTTGGTGAGGCTGAATTCTGCGGAAAGTTGTAGGCTTTCTAACAATGAAACAGAAGTGCTCACAAGGAATCGTTCTACTTACAGGACAGCCATTTTCCATCTGAGTACCATGCTGTGCCCTAGAGGTACTGTTTTAATACTAAAAAAAGAACAAAAGAAAAAAAATCAAAAATATCTTTTGTCCTCCCAAATGAGTTTCTGTAGAGCTCCTTGATATTTAGTTCTGGATTGAATGAGTTAGGACTTGGGTAGGAAGTTGCTTTAGATGTTGCTGGGGTTTTTTTGTGGGGTTTTTTTTTTGGCTTCGTACTGAGTCACCTGTTACAGAATCTAGCAGTTGGCTAGAGCACCCTCGTGCTGCCACTACTAAACCTCCCCCTGGGCAGGGAAGAGGGTTCTGGGATAAGCTGTAGTTTAGGAACTCCCAAAGTCATCGATATTGTAGAACTCTTTGGAGGGGATTTTTCCCCTAGAAAGCTCCATAAATTTATGGGAGTGCAACAGAATTCCTGAGGAAAAGATAAGTCTGATCCTACAGAGTGCAGAGCACTCTGGTTCTGATGGTGCACAGTGCATGCGAGTTGTCTTCATGAGATCAGTGCCTTGTTTGCAGTCACATCTACCCAGATTATTCACACATCAGCAAACATTGGTGTCATAGATGCAGGAATTCATCTTGCTTAGTGCCATACTCGCTCTGTGGTGCTAAAAGGAATAATAAATAATACAGATTCATTGTCACAAACGTGAGTAGATACGGTTGAGTTCACGCAGTTTGAAATAGATTGTCTCCTTTTTTTACCCTGTCTGTTTTCAGTGTGGAGGTGCACTGTTAAAGAATGAAGCATGAGTATTGGCACAGGTTCCCGCAGATGAGAGCAGGAGGATGGAAAAAAAATGGATTAGAGGGAAAATTTAATAAGGAAGAAAGGGAGCAGGTGTGGTCTGCAATGAAAGAAATTGTTCCAGGAGTAAGTGTAGAGTATAAGATTCGAAGAAGTCTACTTGAATCCTCAAATCCTTTATCCTGTTGTTGGAAATGGCTGCACTATACAGTCGATTTCATAAAGGGATAGAGTTCCTTTTCTTACTTTCCCTTCCAGTTTGAAGTTGCAGAATCAATTGAGAGTTTTGTTACGCCAAACTTGTGCTTTTTCTAGCATGTAATTTAGGTAGTTGGATCTAGATGCTTGACTGGATGTTTAGCTCTTCCATAATTGAAGCTGCAGCCAAGAACTGTAGTTGACACCTGATTTTTGAGAAATTCCTTGAAATTTACTGCTTTGATTTCCATTTAAAGTATTGAGGAAATAGCAAATTTTATTATTCTTAATAAAAGATTGCAAAGTTTCTGAAGACTTCTTCGTTAAAGACAGGGTGCTGTGATTTGCCTACTGTGAGGAGGCTCCGTTAGCCATTGTTTCTGAAAACTTGTGAGTGTAATTCATGAGCAAAATTTGGCATCCTTTGAGATTTTTCTCTCCTTCGTTGACGCAAGATATTGCTTAACGATATGGTTCTGAGTAATTTCATTATGCAATACAATTTTAAATGCTTGAAAATGTAGTTTTAATCTTATTTCAGTCTTTTTATTTTTGATTTCTGAACTTTTTGGAGCTTCTTACAAATTTTGAAGTGAGTGTGTTTTTGCCGTACAGAGACTCTATATAGAGGCTTTAGAATAATCCCGTTCAGAATCTGAAAGAGCATTCAATTAGCATTTCATATACAATTAATTTTCTACACTGGCATTTTTTCCCAACCTTTATTTCTAGATTGGCAAAAAATTATTTTTAAATTAAACTACATAATAGTATAATGTCAAAAGGCCATATGCATATATCTGTTTGTTAATAGCAGTGTGTTACTGTTTCAGGTTTTGGCAGATAAACATGGTAATGCCTTGTGGTTGAATGAAAGAGAGTGCTCCATTCAAAGGAGAAACCAAAAAGTTGTGGAGGAAGCACCGAGGTATGTATACTAGACTCTTGATGCAGCTTCATAGTTACTGAAAGCACTTTTGGAAAGCTGCTGATTTTATTTGTTGTACAAATAAAAGCAAATTTTGTTCTATTAAAAACCAAAAAGAAAATAAATAAATGTTTAAGTTATAGTCATTTGACTGTAATGCAATTTTGATGTACTTTGAGGGTGTTTTGATCTTGCTTCATGATGTCTTTCTGTAAGAAGAAAACAGGTGGTGGTGTTAATTTTTTTCATGATCTTGTATAAAATGGATATGGAATCTTACCAATCAAATGTATGTGGTACATGAGATGGCTTTCTTAATATATCTGAGATATTTTTCCTTTTCTTTGCCATTCAACTTCTGGATTTAAGAGTAAAATAAAATACGGAATAAGTATTCATTTTACCATAGATACGGATATTTGACTGTGTTATAGTAATTGTGAGAGGGCCAGATAATACTGTTTATTTCTATTTGGAGGGGAACATGAAGTACTAAATACTCTGCGCCACTTTTAGTACCGTTCATGGTAGTGAACTATAGATGTAGGTGTCCAGTAACTCAAAAGTACTACATGATCTTAATCCCACTGATTTCAAATGGAGCTGAAACACATTGCTGCTGTGCAAGGTATGGTCTTGCTGTGTTTTCTGTTGCATGGCATTCATCAGAGAATATGTGTAGAAAAAAGGGCAGAAGGAAGTTCTGATTTCAGAAAACCAGACATAGGTATATCACTGCCTGTGGGAATTCCCAGTGTAATGTGTTCACCAGCTGGGATGGGTTTGCCATTATTTTATAGCACAGAACTATGTGATTCAACAAATTAGGATGTGAGGAAAAGCACATCATTCAAATGATGACTGTTTAGAGGCAGCATATAAGTTAATGTTGGATCATAATTGTGGGACTGGCACTGTTTATGACCTAGATTTTAAATTAAAAAACAAAGTTTAAATCTAAAGATACAAACCCACTCATAAATGCTTAAATAGCTGTTGTTGCTTCCTGGTAGTGCTTGTGGATCTCTGGGAAGCCTTATGCCTAAAGATCTCACTGTGTTTTTGTTTGTGAAGCGTGATGGTTTCAGGTCCCGATATAATGTGTGTGTGCATATATATATATACCTAAGCACTTAAGAGAGGAGAGTCTTTTGCCTCAGGAGTACATGTAAGGCACTGCCTGCCGCTACTGCCTGCTCATTCTCCATGCCTGTGGTCAATTAAAGGGAGTGGTACCTCTTTCTCTCACCAACCAACTGTGATCAGAGTGTTTTCTTCCATCATAAGTATCAGCCTTTTAACTTTCTTGGGCTTCTCTGTTGGAGTTGCCAGTAAGTTTTCTCATCCCTTCCTATAACTCTACAAAAGAGTGTGGGCAAGTCAATAGCTTCCAAAATTTGGCGTGAAAACTCTTCTTCCTTCTTGTTGTTGAATGTTTTTGACTCTGCCAGACTTTTACTGACAGCTTTGCAAGCCTTCTCTGCCTTATAGCCACTTGCAGTTGGCTGCAGAATCCATTTATTTACAGAGGGTTGCAAGACTGTTGCAGTTAAGCAAGGCACTAACTTCTGTGAGACACCATAGAGACCCTAAAGCCCTTCCTGTGAATGCTGTTTCTGTTAGTCTCATTGATTAATGACTTGTGGAAACACCTCTTCTTGTATGGCTGGGTGGAGGAAATGTGAAGTCCTCAGTAGTCCTTTTTTTTTCTCCTATTTTAAAAGGTAGCTGCCATTAAGAGCTCTGAGATAGGTTGAAGCTTTTTTATTTTCTCTCATGAAGCTTAGGAGATAGGGATGCTATGGGCTAAAATGTTTATTTGTCTTTTGTACAGTTTAGGGCTTTTGACTCTGGCCTCTTTTCAAGCTTCTTGATTTACTTTTTTCCTATTATGATGTTGGCCAGCAGGAGTAGGGAGGTGATCATGCCCCTGTACTCGGCCCTGGTGAGGCCGCACCTCGAATGCTGTGTTCAGTTTTGGGCCCCTCGCTACAGGAAGGACACTGAGTTGCTGGAGCGCGTCCAGAGAAGGGCAACGAAGCTGGTGAAGGGTCTGGAGCACAAGTCTTATGAGGAGTGACTGAGGGAACTGGGGTTGTTTAGCCTGGAGAAGAGGAGGCTGAGGGGAGACCTCATTGCGCTCTACAACTACCTGAAAGGAGGTTGTAGCGAGGTGGGGGTTGGTCTCTTCTCCCAAGTAACTAGCGATAGGACGAGAGGAAATGGCCTCAGGTTGCGCCAAGGGAGGATTAGATTAGGACATTAGGAAAAACTTCTTTACTGAAAGAGTGGTCAGGCCTTGGAACAGGCTTCCCAGGGGAGTGGTAGAGTCACCATCCCTGGAAGTATTTAAAAGATGTGTAGATGAGGTGCTTAGGGCCATGGTTTAGTGGGCATGGTGGTGTTGGGTTGATGGTTGGACTTGATGATCTTAGAGGTCTTTTCCAACCTTAATGATTCTATGATTCTGTTTTCCTAAGTATCTAGTTTAAGAGACTGATTGTAGAGGGCCTTTTGGCTTTGAGAATAATCTCTATGATTTTCTTAAAGCTAAGTCTGCAGCTGTTGAACTTACCCTAATGGGATCATTTCGTGTTTGAATGTCCAGTTTTCCTGGGAAAGTTCTGTCTCTTGTTTAAAAAAGACAAAAAAAAAAAAAAAATCTCTTTTGAGGAGAGGAAGCTCTTATTTCACAACCTGATGAGGTTACAGCCTTCAAGGGAGCCCTGGTGTTCAAAGTGGTCAATCCCCCAGTGTCAAATAGGAAACCAACAAACTTAGCTTATACCTTTTTAATGTATTCAGTTGTCCTACTCTGTCTGTTCTGGGAAGCACAGACAGTAAGACACAGGTGATCATCACCAGTTTTTTAGTTAGTGCTGAGCAAAGTTAGTGCTACGCAAAGCTTCCAGTGATTTACAGTAATCTTCTTTGCTTCTAGCTTCACACCTTTTTGGAAGATGCTGTTGGCTACTCATTTCACCACAGAGGCTGAAATTTAAGCAGACGAGTAACATTTAATAGTCTGTTGTTGTTCTTAGTTCAGTTTTTGTTCCTCCTCTGCCCAAACTCTTCTCTATTCATTTTCAGGGACAGTTGCTATGAGACAGTGTCCTTTGGCAAGAAAAAATGTGAGAGTGTGGTTGTATTTTCCTATCTGCTAGAGTGATTAATAAGGGATTATTCCCCATGTGGAGAAACAAGGCCCGTAAGCTTATCAGAAAATCCATTGATCCTTTAGGATCAATTTAAAGTAAGTGGATCAATGGAAACTAAATATACAAGAGTCTTAGCTGACTTACTATTCAATAACTGGAGCTCAAAGGAGTACTCTTAAACTTCACTTTGGTGAGTGCAGGTGTCCTATCTAACCATTTCAGAACCCATTAGAAGCTTTTTAAAGCACTTTAATTTTTGACTCACCACTTGGGTGAAGGAATGTCCAGCTGTTCAGAGGCACTTGGCTATCTGTACTATTTGATGCCCAAAGTTAAGATTTTGGAATGTTGTTATGGAGAAGTGCCACACAAAGGTCTTTCCACTTACTGTGATCACCCAGCACTATCCTTTGCTTTAGCAGTCAAACAGAGTAAACATTGGATCCTTCATGGAATACCATTTAGAATCATAGAATCATTTTGGTTGGAAAAGACCTCTAAGATCATCCAGTCCAACCGTCAACCCAACACCACCATACCCACTAAACCATGTCCCTAAGCGCCTCATCTACATGTCTTTTAAATACCTCCAGGGATGGTGACTCCACCACTTCCCTGGGCAGCCTGTTCCAATGCTCAACAAACCCTTTCGGTGAAGAAATTTTTCCTAATATCCAATCTAAACCTCCCCTGGTGCAACTTGAGGCCATTTCCTCTTGTCCTATCACTTGTTACTTGGGAAAAGAGACCGACACCCACCTGGCTACAACCTCCTTTCAGGTAGTTGTAGAGCGCGATGAGGTCTCCCCTCAGCTCCTTTTCTCCAGGCTAAACAGTCCCAGTTCCCTCAGCTGCCCCTCATAGGACTTGTGCTCTAGACCCTTCACCAGCTTCATTGCTCTTTGGACATGCTTCAGCACCTCAATGTCTTTCTTATAGTGAGAGGCTCAAAACTGAACACATGGTTCAAGGTGCGGTCTCTAACTATCATATCACAAAATGCTGAGCTTCAAGACGCTGGGTGTTAAACCTTCTGACTACATTTTCAGGCCTTTCCTCGACAAGTAATGATGGAACAGTGCCCTGCCATTGTATTCTCTACTAGCATGCAAGCTCCGTATTAGCATCCACAATGGGCAAGTCCTTAGAACTTGCTAGCTGCCTGCTTATTCCCCTTTGTTGTCTCTATTTTTCTCCAGTGATTCCATGTCCTTTGGGTTAAACCTTAGCATCCAAGACTTTCAGGATAAGGTAATTCTTAGGACAGTCTCTCGACAATTTGCCAAAATTTCCCTGAATTTCATCTCAGGCAGGAAGTAATTTATTATGTTTCTTTTTCTTCTTAGCTGCATACATTCAGAGTTGAGATTGCCTTATCTATCCTAGGTGTTAGTTTTGTGGTGTGTTTTTAAATTAAAAGATTTTCTTTCAGTTTCAGTTCAAAGGACAAAAATGTTTCTTTCTGTTTCTGCCTGTGACAGAAAGGTCTAAGAGGCAGGAGATTTAAAAGGGAGGCTAGTTTATCAGTAAGTGACTGCATTAGAATGCAAGTGAAACAGTTAAACTATTTTTGTGACCTTTTTTGCATGCTCCATCGTTAGCTTCTCTCAGGAATTTTTGTCCTTGGAAGGTGCACAGACAGCAACTTCTTTCACTTTCTCCAAGCACTAAGCTCTCTCTGAAAAATCTCAGTATGATGCCAAGTACCTCAGGATCATATTCCAGATTAACTGCCAAGGTGCTACTTGAAGCCACCGACAATTTGAATGAATGTATATAGGCAAGAACTTAGCAGAAAGGTATGTTATTGAACTAGACTCTATGTACAAGCTCTGCTTAAAGTGTGCTGCATGTATGTCAGACTCTACATTTCGTATCACTCTGTCTAGAAATCCTTGCAGGATTTGGGGTTAAGAGAAACAGTGAGCCTGTTCTGTTTGTGTCTGTGTACATGATTCATAGGTGGGCACAGTTAGATGTGGGGGCAAAACTGTGTTCTCAAATACTTTAGCATATTTATGCCCGTGGTGTGGTAGTACATAATAGATAACTCAAAGGAGAATGGTTTTTGTAAGTAAGTAATTTTTTTAAACAGACTATTTCCTAAGAGCAGCAGGTAAGCTGACCTTGACATTTAGAAAATGAGGTTGTTATTGTCTCCCAGTTTAGTGGTATCTTCAGAGGAAGGATAAATGTTACTGATGATTTTTTTTTTTTTTTTTTTTTTTTTTTTTGTCTATGCTGAGCAGTGTATTTCCACTGACAGTGTAACGGTCTGTACTTTTCAAAATCTCAACCTTATCTGTGAGTGAAGGTGGTGGAGATATTTTGGGAAACATTATCTGATGAACTAGAAGTGGAGAGGTAACATCTTGCCCATGTGGTCATCCCTCTGGATGTAGAAACAATGGAACAAACCAACTGTATTGTCTTTGATCAACTTTACAATAGCTTGAAGAAGGTCTTATGAGTGAAATGTCAGGTCTGATCTTACTTTTTCTTTTTGGTGCTTTTATCTTGCAAATCCTTTTTATTTTGCAGCCTTCATGCTGCCATAGGAGCTATTTGGTCAAAAGAATAACAGGTATATGTGTGAGAAAAAGATTTGAAGTCAGGTTTAAAATGCTGTGTTTTCAAGTGATGCCTAATTAGATTGGAGAAGAGTTATTTCAGTTGTAAAAGGTGCATTGTTAAAGAAGGGAAAAACAATCTATATGAAAGGTAAAGCAGCAGAGGGGAATAGGAAGACTTTGGTTAATTAACCTAGCTGATTGTGGGGATGATCCAGTCATTTTAGAGCACAAAGCTTAACCATGTGGCAGAGATCAAGTTTAGCAGTGTGACACCTCTGTTCCATTCTTTGGCTACAGCAGGAGGTGAACAGAGAGATCTCAGACCTACATTTAACAAACATAGGGAAGGCACTACTGTAATAAAGGGGAGTAACTGTCTTTCATCCGTATGAGAAGTAATAATGGTTGTTCTAGAAATAGAGTATGAAGCCAATATTGAAAAGGTCCTGTTCTTCATAAGCCACTCATTGACCTTTCATGATCAAAGCCCTGCAGAAACCCTAAATTAAATTAGGGATTGTTGATTTTATGTGATGTATTATCCTCTTATTGAACCAAAATAAGAAACATTATGAAACTCTCTTACATTACCAGTGCCTATTTTTGATAGCTACGACACAGTTTTGCACATCTTCTGTTTTTTCCTTTGATCTGGTGTAGGACCTGATAGCTTTCTTGGGGTCAGACTTGACTTCCTTTTCCTGTTGATCCTGTTGTTTGCCAAGAAAGAAATTTTTTCCTAAATTCTGAAAATGTCTGCCCTACTGTCCGTCAGAATCTGCCCATGTGGGCACTGGAAGGATGGGGGTGCTAAGTAACACTTTTCCCATAAAGAAAAGGCTTCCATTGTCTCCCAGTTTGCCTAGATATTTCCTCACTTTTTGTGACATGTCAAATATGGTTTGTTGTGGCAGAAGTCTCTAGCTCTTCTGTGAGTTCAGGTCTCTGTGAAAAACCCCATCGTAAGTACTGAAAGGTCAGTCCTGACCCAGCACTGGCTTCCATGTAAATCCTGACCCAGCACTGGCTTCTGTCTGAGTGCAGTCAGTCCTGGGCCCCAGACGGAGCTTCACTTCAGATACGTGGAGGTTCCTGATTGCTCCTTCGCAGAATTAGGACTCACTGTTGAGAACACCTCAAGAAATACGTAACATTTGTTATTTTTGTTTTAAACAGTAACTTAGAGGTAAGGTAGAAATGACTTCCTATTCCCTTAAAAAAGTACTTTTAAAATGATAGCTGAGTTGTGTGCCTAATGTAAATCATCGCAGAAATATAATAAGCATATTTATAAGCTCGTATAAGATGAACAGCTACATGTTGTCTTTCATTGAAGATCAGTGTATCAGGGTGAGGGGCAACCAGTTTCACAGCTTTGATGGAAAGCCACAGAAATTTCCCTAGCTCTAAATTAACAATCCGCATAGGTTAATCCAAATCTGAATTTGCAGTACAGAAGAGAGTAACAAGCAGAATATGTACCTTCCCAAGTCTTTCGATTCACTGGACCAGTGGAAGTGGCATGTTTCTCTCCTAGAATGAGAAGGCTTGGCGTTTGGGCAGTATTCACAGTGGCTCCCAAGGTGGTAGCTGAGCTGCTCTTTGGGTGCCTTTGAGTGTGTCCAGGATTTGTGGAAAGGAATGAATTGCAATTAACAAACATGGATAACTAGTCTTCAGCTTACAAGTAAAGCTGAGAGAAGAAATACAGGATATGGAGGTTTAAGTCATTATATTGTTGATGGTGTTTTAGTTAAATACTATGAATGCCCAAATTTTCTTCATTGCAATCTTAGTCATGTAAGAAGCCCGAATAAATACTTCATTAATTTCCAAAACTTCTTTATTGGATAGAATATCGATGAAATGGCCATGCTGTTTTAATTCAGTCAGAAAACAAATTCCCCTCAGACCTCGTGTCTTGTATTTTGGCATTCATATTTCCATTGGATGGATTTTTTTAGTTGCCCTTTTTTTGCAAATAGATATGCCTTCTAAAATATCATGGATTTGTATGTATTTATTTTCATTTAACTTGCATTATTATAGATCTCAGTGTTCTAAAAAAGTTGTGTTCTGTTATTTATATTTTAGAGAATACTCTTATTTATCCTCGATTTCCTGTACATTAGCAGTAATTGCAAAGCATGCAGTATATCTGCTTAGGAACAATATAAATGTAAAGGCATACATTTGACAGTCTTGACATGTTTTCATAATTTAAATAATGCTGTCCTCTTTTGATGGTAGTTTAAGCAGAAGATGAAATGATTTAATTATTATTGTCTTTTTAACTAAAGAAGGGCATTGTTTCTGTATTGTAGCACTTTTCTAGACCCTGAAACTCGAAGAGCAATGGGAGAACAAGCAGTAGCTCTTGCCAAAGCAGTAAAATATTCCTCTGCTGGAACAGTAGAATTCCTTGTGGACTCCAGTAAGAATTTCTACTTCTTGGAAATGAATACTAGACTTCAGGTAAGAAAAACAGCTTTTCAGGTTCAGAAAAGTGTTATTTAAAAAAACAGAACATGACCTCCTTCCATACTTAGGGGTCTGCTCCTGCTAAGACTTACACATAACTAACTTGACGCATGTGAGCACTTCCCACTGAACTTAAAAGATCTACTCACTTAAATAAGCCGGCGTATACAAGACTTTGCAGCAGTGAGCCCTTGCACAGCACTCAAGTAAGCATTCAGAGCTTTTGCTCTTTGTTACACTTGACCTAAAGACCTTGCAAGAGGTCACTGTTAAGTACCACTGTGAGTTCGCAGTAAGTGGCTAGCCACTGTGCTCTGATGCTTTTCCCCACTGGTCCCTGAAGTTTCCTTTTTATTTTTTATACTTTGATGATGGCTTGCTGAGTTTCTCTAGGAGGGTGATTAAAACTATATGTGTATATTCAGCAATAAAAACACTAGTAATCTGCATATGATTGAAATTGTGACTGGAATGCAACTATGTAAAAAGCATGCTGACATGGTGTAGAATTTTTGTAACAACACATGTAGTCAGTAGTAGATGGTATAATGTACACTGCAAATGAATAGACAAACAGTGTTTTATGGAAAACCCCCTCTACCTCTTATTTGACTGTTATAATGCATTTCTGGTTGTAACTTAAGAAAACAGGCACAGAAAAAAGTCTGGATATTGTTCTCAAAGGCAGGAAGAAAGTTCAACTTGTAAGCAAATAAATTCTGTCATCTTTATCCTCCTTTTCTCACTTCGTTAAATAATGCCGGAAAGACTGAAATGTGGAATCATGCAATAGTGTGATTAGCTTTTTATTCTGTTTTAGCTACGTTTTGTTAGGGCTGTGTCCTCCCTGCTGCTTGTACATATGGGCAGTGATGGAGCATAAAGACATCCTCGTAATTCTGACATCTTTGCATGACTTTGTATAGTGGCTGCGCAAATTTATGCTTTGGGTAAAGAAGTGAGAGAGGATTTGGGGTATGAAGCGGGAATGGAGGTGTTGCAGTCTTCTCCCAGTGCCAGGGGAAGACTACTGGTAAAATTTTCCTTGCTTTGCAGGGCAGCAGCGTTTTTGGAATTAGTCATGACAGTTATACTTCACATGCTTTTGCATGGAGTTTGCTAGGCACAATCTGGTCTACCTTAGATTCAGTTAGAGAGGGTGGTGACTAATGGCAATGTGTAGTTCATTACAATATTATGAAGAATTTCTGTCTCTTTGATCATATTCTTTACGCTTCTCCCAATCTTCTGGTTTTTGAGAGAACACTTTTTAGTAACTCCCCATGTTCTTGTTTACATAGAAGAAAATTAATTTTTGTTTTCTGCATAACCCACCAGAAGTTCAAAACCATTTCCTTGCTACAGTATATAATTGTTCATCAATTCCTAAATGGAATTAGCAATTGAGTATCCTTGGAGTTGATGCTTTTCACGATTTGTTTTTAAGATGTTATCTTTGCTGTGTTGTGGTGTCTTCCACTCGCAATGCATAGAGCTAAGTGTTTGAAGTCCCAAACTTCAAACTTGCCTAATTGTAGAGGTCTCCACATACACAGTAAGAAAGCTTTCACAATTCCATCTTTAAGGACTTCAAAGACTCCTTTTGAGATATAGCCTAAGCAGTTTGACAATCCCCTATAATAGCAGACTCATTCTTTCCAACTCTTAAAGAAATTTACTAATCTTAAATTACAGTACTTGTGTAGATATTCTCTAATTCCTTTGTCTTGACTGTGTATTGTCTCTAGCATTTCAGTGTGAGGCTGGAGAGTAGTAATTTTCTCTGATTCTTCCCCAGGCTTACCCGATCGGTCTGTCACTTGTCCCAGGTCTCAAGCTTTACTTTCTGTTCAGCTAACAGTTATGCAACTAACATCTCGTTCTTGCTCCCTTCTTTTAAGAGCCAAACATAGAAACTCTAATGAAGCTTGTCCAGATTTAACTTCAGAACCAGGAGGATCTCTAGATGTCCCTGTATTGCTTCAGCCTTTTCTTTTTGCATTTCCTAACTGTGAACAGTGGCTAACAGGCTCACTTGCCCTGTTTTTGCTGAACGCTCCACAGTTGGAAGAACTTTCCTAAATAATGGACATCTGATCCATAAATGATGCTCCTAAGGTCTTAGCGTGCATTACAGACACAGCTACCTGTCAGCATCATCAGAACGTGTCTACTAAATTATGCAATTTCCTGTGTCTGTTTTAATGTTTCAGCAATCTCTAATCAGTTTACTGTAGCCTTTTTACTTTAGATACAGACTTCAGAATATACTTGCATAAAGCTAACTAAACCATGTCCAATACCTTGCACTGCCTGCTGATTTCTCCCCTCTCTTCCTTTGGTGTATCTGCCAGATATCTTCCAGTGTTTTTTGTAGATTATTTTGCAGTAATTGAGAGTTGTATTATTATTTGGCTGTCTTTTTGGGGAACTCTTTGGGAATATACCTTTTCTGCTATACAGTTCTGCAAAAAAGTATAAGTAGCACCTTACAGGAAGTTTATATTTGATTTAATTTTTGTTTTAAGTGTTGCTGCAATACAATATGAGATTGGAAAGTGAGAAAAGTTGGTGAATCAGCTCTATTGTGTCTTTTGTATGCTACACAAATCTGTTACAGATGTTTCACTCCCTCCAAGTGATTCAGATAGAATGATTTATTCTTTTGCTGTTGGCAATGTACTTTTTGTTGTATCTGCTGCTCTGCCATCTTTCAGAGGCTAGCTGGTAAGTATGAGACACGAGATTGGATAATTGCATAGCAAAACTAGTTATTCTTGTTTTCTCAAGAAAACATAGAAATGGCTGCCCTAGCAGCTACAAGAGAACTTCTGTATGCTGTCATTTAGGGTACTTCTGGAGTGGTTTTCAGACAGCTTACCGCTGTTAGGATTGTTGAGGCAGACCAGATGTTGAATAGCTGATTCTTTATAGTTGCTCATGCTGCGGTGTGCTTTGTGTTACCTAGTTGTCATCAGCCTAATCAAAGGCAGTCATAGTCCAAAATAGCCAAACAAGAGCTTTGAAATAAATAAAAAGTTTCTGACCCCTTAGCTTGATAGCCTTTCTAACTTCCAAATTGTGTCAAAATCTCCTTGTCATGCTACCATCAGAAATGCTGGCTTTCACCAGAAAAGTCTCTTCTGCATTTCAGTGGAAGATTAGAAATGTTCCTCTTTGACTTTATAGGAAGAGAGTCTACAGTCTGTAAATAAAGAATATCTGTTAACATATGGGTGTGTGGTGTGGCTAAGCTTGGTACGTGTGAATCATTAGGTGACAGCAAAGGAAAATATCACATATTCTAGAAGTTTGTAGTACCTTGAAATGAGAAGCATCTCTCGTTGGCTTGAGAACTGAGAAAAGTGCGACGAGCAGTGTGAAGAGAGCACTTATCCTGAATACAGTTTGTATGTCTGTGTCTCAGGTCTGCTCCCAACCTTCTGCCTCCCCCACGCATTGTGCGATTTAAATAACAAGTGAGCACTCCTTTCCTCCTCAAAACATGACCAAATTTGCTTAGAGTATCTGATTGAAAAGATCATTTGTATAGACTGTATTCAGCACAGTGGAGTTGAGAAATACGGTAATTGGAGTAGCAGTGTGTTTTCTCCTTATGTGACAGTTTGAATATTTTTGTCATAACTTTCTAGGGATTAAAAGTTAATTTTGATGTGTTTGTAAGAGATTTATTGAAAGCAAATGGCATATCTGTATGTTTTTATTTTTCAGTTAATTGTAGAGAGAGTATTTAATTTATGTAAATGTTTTCAAGTTCTTTTAAAGTAACTTAATTCTAAGGCATAAGGTGAATGTAAATAAACTTCCATACACCCATAAAACATTACCCAGTGTTAAAATTTTTGTTCATCACTTTCAGTGTTTTCATCAGATTTTACTGACCTCTGGAAAATGTTATATTCCAGGGCTTTGTCTTTGTGCAAAACTGGCCATGCCTGGTGTAAAAGGCTGAGGAAGAATTTTTACATGCAATGTGTCTCTTTCTACCTCCCTTTTCATTTCATCTGTTTGTCCACTCATGAAAGTATAAAAAGCATGGTTGGAAAATGTCTAGAAGTATGTAGAAATCCTGTTGGTGATTGTCTGGAGCTCCACTACGTATAAACTGCTGGTTCTTAGAGTCTCTTAATGGTATCTGTATTCTGTTGCACATCATTAGGCAGCACCTGCTGCACGTTTGCTCAGTGAAGGAGAGATGTGCTGGAAAATATTGCAGCTGCACTATATAAGCAGTAGCAGCAAAATATAAATAGCAAAGTGATGAGCTGAGTCTGGATTGCCAGCTAAAACCAGAGAGAGGTGACTTTGGTATCCGTAGCAGACCCATGGGACGGACAGCAAGAGGTGGTTTTGTGTCTTGGTGGGTGTAACTGCCTGGAAGATGAATTATGATAGATGGGCAGGAGTATGGGAGCAGTGAAAGGGGCTGTCAGGAGTTAGAGGAGTAGATTTCTACAAAGTCTGAATGGCGGGATTTCAAAGTAAAGTCTAAAGCGACTGTTTCTGCTGTTTGCTGAGACTATTCATATTTCTTAATACTGGAATCTTGTTTTACTGTGACACTTTGCTTCAGTCGTTTTAAATAGGCTAACGAACAGTGTCAGATGGTAAAGACTTGCAATTGCTGCTAACCTGGGCTGAATTTGAACTACTGACCTAAAGGTGAAAGGTCTCTTATCCCATTACCAATCCCCTAAGCCCACCAGAATCCGTTCTGCACACAGTTTATACCAGCTGTTCATGGCCATTTTTAGAACCAAAAGAAAAGGTGATTTTGCTGCCAAACAACACTTCTTCACACAAGAGGGTCAGCCGACAACAGTTAACCAGATTTTTGCCACATTCTTGCCTCCTAATGCAGCTTCCATTATGTAGCTACTGGTTGTCTGCTTTTCGGGCTTCCCAAAAGAACTACAGAAAAGCATTGCTAATTGTTGTTGACAGAAGAGAACGACATTGTTTGTGTAAGTCAT